ATTTCCATTCTGTTTTGCTGTTGCACACCTGAGCTATGGGAATTTACACTCGCTCTCTGGTTTTATGTTTAAGTGATCAGGTCAGATCACAAATTTATTTGCCGCTTTGTTAACTTCTAGAGTCTCAAGTGTTGTTACTGGTTTCTGGACCTCTTTGTGGAAATCATGTAGCAAAGGAACAAAAATGTATTAAGCCTCCATCAATCTTGTCACCCCAAAACGTTAATTCCTTAATTTTTAAAATATAGCTGATTGAAAGGGCCAAAAAAACCCTCAACCCAAAAGCACACTGTGATGAAATAAGTATAAAACTGTAACAAACAGTTGCAGCAATAGCCCTGAGGGTCCCGAAGTGCCCTGGTTGTGCTGAACTTTCCATCTACAGCGTCTTGGGGTGGTTGTTTTTCCTTTTTCTCTCTGGCTCATCAGAGCTCAGAGCTGCAAACACCAAGTGTGGTGTTGTCGAAGCGCGCCAGGTACGGCCTGTTCTGTGCTGATGTTCTCTGCTGATCTCAGATCTAGGCCAGCTATTATCTTTTTAGGCCTTTTCTCGGTAAATAGGTGTGGGCTTTGGGTGAAGCCAAATGCCAGGAGTAGTGCTTAGCTTGCAGATGAAGTGGAGGTTGCCTTGGTCTGGCACAGCTCGTGCTTCCTTGTGACTTGTAGGTGGTTTTGGGTCGGAAGGGACCCGTAAAGGTCACCTGGTGCCACCAGGGACATCCTGCACTGGGTCAGGGTGCTCAAAGCCCCGTCCCAGCGCTGTGTAGAGGGAGCCTCCTTTCAGACTTCGGTACAAAAGTTGTCATTTATCAATTCCCTGAGCACTAGGAGTGAAATTAATCCTTGTTTTAATTTATTGCGCGATCTTGCAACTCGATTATTTTCAAAATAGCGATGCTACTTTGATAGGAAAAACAGCTAACTTTGCATGAGTTTTATTTGACTCTTGATCTCAGCCATCTAACTTTAATGAACGCTTTAATGAACGAGGAGGGCGATCTGCTAAGGAATAATGCGAAGGAAGCAGCACGTGTTGAGCAGCCGAGGCTGCCTCAGAGCCTTTAACACCATGTGTACGGGGGGCCAGGACAAATGGCACACAAAGGAAATGAAGTCTGTAGAAAAGAAGCTGCTCTTTCTGGTGCGTGGGCATCGCGGCGTGCAATCGCAACCCCCCTCTTCTCCCCCCCCCCCCCCCCCCCCCCTTAAAGCTTTCTGTAGGAGGCATAATTATGTAATAAAATTCCTGTTTCTGCAGCATTCACCCCGTACCAACACAGAAATGCAGGCTTTATTATTCTTCCCAGCTGGTAGGCACTGAATTACTAGTGTTTTAACCCTCTTTGCACTAAACCCTCAGTTTGATTTCTGACTAAGGGCTCCCTAAAAGGCCAAGCAGCATTTTTGACTGATGGCCATAATGGGTTACGGGCCCATTTGTTTGCTGGCCACCCTTCCGCAGAAGGGGCTAAAGGCTGGGGCTGCTGGGCTCGGGGCTGTAAGGCAGAGTGAGTCAGATGCCTGCCAACGCGAAGTAGCTGCCTGTCGCCCTGCTGAACTCTCCGTATGAATAGCTGTTGTCCCTTCAGTGACCTCACCCCAGTCATCACAAACAGCTTTCCCGCCCTATTTTTTGGGTGTTAGTGCTCACTTTAAAGATGAAGGGCTCCCTAAAAGGCCAAGCAGCATTTTTGACTGATGGCCATAATGGGTTACGGGCCCATTTGTTTGCTGGCCACTCCCACTCCTGACAGGCGGTCAGATGGCTTCCCACCTGGGGGCTGGGGGAAGATGGGGCACGCTGCTTGTTGGGTAACGCTCACAAGTGGAGGTGTGAGTTGGAGGGGACAGTTGACCAAGCTTGAGAAGGTGGTTGGGCAGCTGGGGATCCATGCCATCACCCAGCTGCCTCGGCCCTGAGGGTAGGGTTGCTCCTGCTAGGTTCCTTTATTGCTCCTGGAGCTGCTCCCCTTGTCCCACTCCTGACAGTATCCCTCCCTAAGGACCTGCTGTGGCTTCTTTGTGGAGCCACTTTTGGTGGTGGGGAAAGAGCTTATCTCCCATAGAATCCTAGAATCACTCCAGTTGGAAAAGACCTTTAGGGTCATTGCATCCAACCATTAACCCAGCACTGCCAAGTCGTAGAATCCTAGAATCACTGGTTGGAAAAGACCTTTAAGATCATCACATCCAACCATTAACCCAGCACTGCCAAGTCCATCTCTAAAGCATGTCGTTCAGCACCACCACTGCCCAACTTGGTCTTGTCTGCAGATTTACTGAGGGTGCACTCCATCCCCTCGTCCAGGTCATCGGTAAAGACGTTAAACAGACCCAGCCCAAGTACTGAACCCTGGGGAACACCACTTGTGGCTGCCACCAGCTGGATTTATCTCCATTCACCACCGTGCTCTGGGCCCGACCATCCAGAGGGTTTTCCACCCAGCGAAGTGTCCACCCGTCCAAGCCTTGAGCAGCCAGTTTCTCCAGGAGAACGGTGTGGGAAATGGTATTGAAGTTCTAAAGTGCAGGCAGACAACATCCACAGCCTTTCCCTCCTCCACCAAGAGGGTCACCTCGTCACAGAAGACCAGGAGGCTCAACCAGGACCTGCCCTTCACGACCCCGGACTGAGCTGGAGGTGCTCTTCGCAGTCCCGTGCTGTTTGTCCTAGAAGAATGGCCGGGTGAGTCCCCCAAAACGCCCCCTCGGTGGCCGCTGTCGCGGGTGTCCCCTCCGAGCGGCCACCCCTGAGCTCCAAGGCGGGCAAATGGCCGGGACCGGGAGCGGGTCGGCTCCTCCGGTGGCCGCCCGGCGCCGCTCTCCGCCCGCCGAGCGCCGGGGCCGGATGCGGCGGTGCCCGGGGGAGGCGAGGCCGGGACCGGTGAGCTCCGCTGACAGTCCCCGGGCCCGGGCGGGCAGGTGGAGCCGGGAGCCGCGGAC